CCTAACTATGATGACAAGAAATGGATTCATACTATTGAAGGACAAAGGTCAAACCAGCATTCAATGCGGTKTTTTKGGTWGTACACATATGGGAAATGAGGCGACTCCATTATTTCATAGAGCAAATGAGTCTTGTAGGAAATGATTGACTATTAATTTTATGTGTTTTTAATGTACAGGAATATATTTCCAAAGAATATTGTCGCAGCTTGTTTCATGGGGGTAGGTGAAAAATTAAGTGTAACGTTATGGTTGAAAGCTTAGATTGTATTTCTTCGGAGGCGTCGTTCTAGCTCTTTTGTCTTTGTGCCATTGGGCTACCTTTCTTCCCCAATATGAKCGAGAGWGACCATAGGGCGCCCAAGTGAAGCTTACGGAGTAATCTCCAGCCAATCAAACAACCAATTACAACTGACAATCAACCTATCAACCGAGACATCTRACACATGAAACCAACTGATRAATCGAGTCAATCTATCWATTAATCTATCAATCAAATAACCAACGCCCAACAAAGAAAGACAAACAATTCTCAGTCAGCCATCAATCTTCTTCATGGTAGTAGCGTCTTGGCAGCCATCCCCTGCCGGTTGCACTATTAACGCTCTCCAGAACAGACATTAGTTCTTCCCAACCGTGAAACCGCTAAAAAAACGCTAGCAACTAGACTGACGTACATCCGGTTTATTTTTAAAATTTACGACTACACGCTGGATGAAACTCAGGCTATTAGAATTGCAAAGCCGTCATGAGTTGAATTAGCGGTCTTAAGAGTAAACGATGATTGAAACTCAGGCTAGCTACAGTGGCGGATCCAGGATTTTTCAAAGGGGGGTTCCACTTTGTTTTCGCATTTTCCTAACGAACCTTTTTACTGTTCCTCTCAAACTGTAGCAAATATAGCATGAATGTATTTAATAAAAATTAATTGTACAATGCGTTTTCATTTTATAAAAACGTTTTCTTTTTTTTTGCGTTATCATTTATTTTATTATTTTATTTTTTTATGCTTGAGGGTGTTCCTAGGAACCCATGGAACCCCCCTGGATCCGTCACTAAGCTAGCATCCTATGTGCAACGCCGTCGTGTGAATCAATTTTTTTAGAAAACTCTCTTTACAACATTTTTTACTTGTTAAAGGGACACTGTCAATGGCACGCATACGCGAGTAAACTTGAAAACACTAGGCTAGTGTTTTCAAGTTTATGACTCCAAGTTGGCGCGATATAAATCAGATCGTAAACGTAAACAGATCTAGAATATTCCAAAGTGTGTCAAAAGCACCACAAAAAAAATTTACCTCGAAGGTAATACTTTCAAAGTCCGTTAGAGGCGAGACTGTTACTGCGCATGTCAGCCATTGACAGTGTCCCTTTAACTCAATATGTTTTCAGGTAAAAACGCGCTATACTTCAGCCCCTGGTAAATARAACTCATACAACACCACTTCGAACGTCACTACAACAACCGACAAGACCAAAGTCTTTAACAACGGAACCCACAATATCACCACGGTTATTCGTGAAATCTATCCTCCTAGCTCCACTGTCCCGGATGGAACTATGAGATCTTGGGGAGTCAATGTAGTTGGTATAACAGTATTCTGTGTAGTGTTCGGGGTRGTGTTGGGTCAGTTAGGAGAGAAAGGGAAACCTGTGAAAGATTTCTTCGTTGTTCTCAATGAAATTATAATGAGGATCGTAACGCTTATCATGTGGTAAGTATAGATTTGCAATAAAAGCTTTA